AAGTTCCAGCTTCCTCATGATCACTTCGGCATACAGGTTGAACAAGAATGGTGAAAGAATGCAACCTTGCCACACTCCTTTCTCTATCTTGAACCAATCAGGGTCTCCATATGGTGTTCGTACAATGGCTACCCATTTGTGTACAGATGTGTTGGCACCCCCAGGTCTTCTAGAGCTCTCCACAGCTTCTCATGTTTGACATAATCAAAAGCTTTCTTGTAGTCAATAAAGCAGATGTAGATGATCTTTTGATATTCCTGACATTTTTCCATGATCCAGTGTAAATTTGCAATATGGTCCCATGTGCCGTGACCCCTTCTGAAGCCAGCTTGAACATCTGGTAATTCCCTTTTGATGGTTGGTAGCAGACATTGTTCTATGATCTTAAGGAGAATCTTGCTAGTGTGAGGGATGAGGGCAACTGTGCAGTAATCAGAGCAATCCTTTTTGGCAAGGGAATGAACACTGATTGTTTCCAGTCCTGTGGCCATGTGTTCGTTTCAAAACTTTCTGGCACAAGGCTGTGATGGTTGTAGGTGGTACAGGCCATAGCAATTCTGCAGAGATGGTCTCAACACCCGGGGCCTTGTTGTTTGGCAGTTGGCTCATTGCCCACACGACTTCTTCCTGAAGGATGGCCGGTTCTATTTCTGCTTCCCTTTTCTCATCATCCTGAGGAGGCTGGGCCTCTTTGCTGCTGGCCTACAGCTCTTCCATACATTCTCTCCATCTGTTCTTGACACCTTGTTGGTCAGACAGTTCTTTCCCTTGCTTGTTTTGGATGGTGCTTTTATGAGCAGTAAATGGGGTTCGAATCCTTTTGGCTTGTACAAATGCACTCCTGACATGGCTGTTCAAGCAGTCCTCTTCTAGCTGCTGGCAACGCTGGACCCAGTGAACTTCGTTGTCTTTTCTTGCTGCTCTTCGGAAATCTGCATTCACTCTCTGTGCTTCCTCCCGTTCGCCTGCTGCTTCGGCTGCTTTTCTTCGCTTGGCTATTCCAGTGGTTTCATCGGAGAGCCATTTGTGCTTTTTCTCTGCCTTCTTGTCTGGTGTGTGTTCAACTGCTGTTTCAATGACCATTGATTGAATTTCTTGCCGCAGGTCATCGGGCATCTTCTCAGCAGTGTCCAGCAGTTCAAACCTATTTTTCACCTTAATTACATACATGGAAGGGATGTTGGTGATGTCAAACTTCTTTGGTGGTGCTGTCTTTTTGATGGTACATAATTTGGCTCCGATCTTAGCCACCATCAATTCATGATCTGAATCGCAATCTGCACCCAGGTATGTCTTGACGTTGAGGACTGAACTGGTCCATCGATGGCTGCATAGAACATAGCTGATCTGATTACGATGTAGTTTATTGGGTGAGGTCCAAGCGTATAAGTGACGCTTGTGTGGTGTGAGCCAGGTAATCATGATTCAAAATTGATTTTTGTGGCAAAATTGTACCAAATGATCACCTGCATTGTTCTTCTCCCCAAGTCCAAAGCTTCCAGTGATGCCTATTTCCAGTCGGCTGCCAACCTCTGCATTAAAATCACCCAGTATGTAAACGACATCTTTTTTGGGCACTTGCTTCACAGTTTTTTCGATGCTGGCATAGAAACCCTCTATTTCAAGCTCTGTTGCATCAGTCGTTGGGGCGTAGACTTGGACAACTGTGATTTTGAGGGGCTGGGCACAGATTCGGATGGTCATAATCTCTGGATGGCTAACACAGTTTAAATGGCAACTGAGGATCAATCATCAACAGTAAATTAACAAAACCTTACAGGCTCAGTTAAGTTCCTGACCCCCATGCCTGGGAAATAGACAGGTCTTAAGAGTTTTCTGAAAGGCTGGCAGAGTCAGAGGGTAATGGTGTCCTAAAGGGCATGTGCATGACCCAAAGGACACATTTTATGGGTCCTCCTAGATGACATTCTTTAATCGATGGGACCTGGAGCATGTTCCTCGTGTCAGACCTGATGGAGCAAATCGAAACAATTGGAGAAATGTGGTCCCTCAGATACCAGCCCCATGCCATGAAGGGCTCTGTAGGTAACAACCAACACCTTGAATTCCCAGAAACATATTGGAAGCCAGTGCAGGTCATGGAGCAAAGGTGTAACATGGACATCATGAAATGTGCCCATAGCTGCTTGTGCCACCACAATCTGGACCAATTGCAACTTCTGGATGGTCTTCAAGAGAAGTCCCATGTACGGTACATGTAGTAGATATACAGAAAACCTGTTGCTCAAGGGGGTGGCATGCAGAAGATCCCCAATCAAATCCCTAGCATCTCATTCTCTAGGTAGCAGGGAAAGACCCCTATAGTATTTCAAACCATAGAGTTGCTACAGTAAACGCCAGGGGATGCAAACAGCAATCCTCAATCTAATTTCAGAAGGCCTCTGCAAACAATTAACTTAATTCTAGTCACCCAGAGTCCCCTATTGTGGGTGAGATGGGCGGCGGAGAAATCTAATAAAATAAATAAATAAAATAAATAAACTTGCAACTCAAGCAAAAGATGGAGAGGGAAAGGGAGAAGAAAAAGAAGGGCGGGGAGGGGAGAGAAAAAGAAATAGTTCAGAAAAAGAAAGAAGGTAGATACTCCTGTCTGGGATCTTCTAACTTTGCCATCTACTGGCTTCAGATTCACCTACCAATACAGTAGCATACAATACCCAAGATTGCCACCAAGACAATGCAGCCCTTGTCTGAAAAATGTTCATCCTACTAGACCAGTGTTTCTCAAACTTGGCAACTTTAAGACACGTGGACTTCAACTCCCAGAATTCCCCGGCTGGCTGGCTGGCTGGCTGGGGGATTCTTGGGGTTGAAGTCCACGTGTCCTAAAGTTGGCCAGTTTTTGAAACACTGGTCTAGTAGGATGAACATTTTTCAGACAAGGGCTGCATTGTCTTGGTGGCAATCTTGGGTATTGTATGCTACTGTATTGGTAGGTGAATCTGAAGCCAGTAGATGGCAAAGTTAGAAGATCCCAGACAGGAGTATCTACCTTCTTTCTTTTT